AAAAGTGCATACGTCTGTATGACTTTGCTTCCTTTTGTGGATTTGAACTGTACGGGAACAAAAGAAAGAATACAGCTGTCCTTTCCAGCACCTGTATGTCCACTTGTCTGTGATACTGTTGATGGTTTAACTCCAGGTGACTCAGGAGTTTGTTCTGACTCCACATTAGTTTTCCTGATATGGAGCACAGTGGGATGCTGTTTATCACAAACTTCACAGGTCAAGCGATTATCACACTTCCTACTCATGTGTCCCATACACAAGCATCCAAAACAAATGCCTTTCTCCTTTAGACAAAGGATCTTGTGCTTCTTACCTTTAAATTGTTGGCATTTCTCTAAAGGATGAGCATGTGTACAACAATGACAAGCCCTTTTTCTTGGGGAAATTTGCTGTAGTTTTGTTATCATCAGGATCCACTTAAGTCAGTGTAGTGGCAAAACTGCTTCCTTTCATTCTGCTCTTTGACTGTAGCTTAAACTTGTTTGAAGTATTTAAGCCAGCAGCCCTTTGTGGTAGGCTTGCACCCTCAATGTCTTCAAAAATTGGGTCTGACAGAATTCTTACAGGTCTCTCAAGAAATGCGACCACGTCTGAGAAATGAGCTCTGTCACTGGAGGCTTCCCAAATGTCATGAGCTTTGGCTCTCCACTGTTCTCTTAGCTCGAAAGGCAACTTGGAAATAACAAATTTCATGTTAGTTGGTATATCTAACTCTTGCATAAAGTGAAGTTCATTCATCACATTACAACATCCTCACAGGAGTAATGCATGAGCTTGGAGGCCTCTGACATCCTCAGACTTGATGGTTGACCAAGATTAAACTTTTTGTATATATGCAGTTGCAATCTTGTACTCGTTCCCAAAATGCTCTTTATCTGTCTATGTATGTGGTGTGTATGTGTGTGCGTGTGTCAAAAAATGTCTGTGCTTCCGGGTAGCATCTGAGGAACCAAAGATTGGTTCCTATTTATACCAAGGACCCTAACTGTAAATTGTAGATAGACATTACAAGTCAAACAAATAAACAATAGAGAGCCATGTGCAAAAAACATCAATACCCATACATATGTAAATCACCATAAATCAGACTACCCATCTTTGATTAAGCACAGTTTAGTTGTAGGTCTCTCAATAATGTTTAAACTGAGCTATACACAGCTATGGATATTCATTTGTTCATGGGCAAATGCAGTGCAAACTGTAAAGATACTCTAGATAGACAGATAAAGAAAACAGGCACACACACAAACGTTAAACTGATTGCATCCCCAGAGCATAGCCAGGCTCAGAGTTATTACTTTTTTCCAGAGGTTGGATTTAGTTCAGTTTGCCTACTTCAAACATGTAATGTCCACCACTTGACTAGCTCCTCTACAGCAACTTGAGGGGTTGACAAGAGTACTTGAGACTATCATGTTCACCCCTTCAACAAATATCAAGTCATATCTACTCTTGCACTTTTTTACACGGTTGTCTTTTGTGCTGCTGTCACACAGTCTCTCCTCTTACAATTCACTCTTTTGTTCTCTCCTGCATCTCAGCGCGTCTCTTTCTACTGCTTTAGGAATTTTTCTCTCTTTGAGTTTTGATTTCTCCCCAGTGTCTGCGCTCTACTCCCGCCTTTTCTAAAACTCTCTTTTTCATTTTTTTAGTTATCTCTGCCTCCTTGTGTGCTTCTTACTGATGCTCTCTCTCTTCTTCTCCCTTGATGTTTCTTTCTGTTTCTTGATTCGTCTCACACAATCTAGCACTGGTTTAGATCTCACTATACCTTTCTTTTTCTCTCTCTCTCTCTCTCTCTCTCTCTCTCTCTCTCTCTCTCTCTCTCTCTCTCTCTCTCTCTCTCTCTGACACACTCAGATTGTCTCTTTTCCCCTGGGTTGTCTACAGATCAGTGCTGGCATGTCTCTCAGTAAGCTGCTGAGTTACCAAACTCCTTGAGCAGCTATCTGGGTGACCCATTTCTGCACAAACTCACACATTTTAATGCCGTGAATTGAAGTCCTGTATAATGTTTTAGCACATTAGTTCAACAATAAACCTAAACTATTAGCATGTGATTCTTTTTCCACTGTAAATCTAACTTTTTACTTTAAAAATGGACAACCACAGGGGTCTATTCTTGTTCCACCATGAAGGAGTAGGTGTCAGGGTCTCTGTATGCCACGGCCAAAGAAATACATTAATCTAATTTATACTCTTCCATTCTGGCTCATAGATTATCGCTGGTAGAAGGAAAGAGATATCTTCAGAGCACAATCTTTAAATGTGTTGCCACCAGAAAGCTTTGGGACAAGATTAGACAATAGCAGATGTCAGATCTACCAGCTGAAAGGCTGCACACCCCCTTTCACTTACTCGGCATGTTTGGACCCTGGGAAGTTTCTGCACTGCGCACTTGGGGAGGTCATGCAAAAAAGGTGAGCTGTGCTGTTTGTGTGTAAGTGCAGTGCAAATTGAGCTTCATCAACACACTTGTTAGGTTCTTCTCTCTCTGTGGTGCTCCAAAGCACATCAGGACAGATAGAGATTCTAATTTTGTTGGTGCCTGCAAAGGATTGAAGATGCATGAACCAAACACAGACCTGAACAAGTATCTTCAAGAGTAGAGATGCAGTTGGGTATCCAACCCACCCCACTTATGTGGGTTATATGTGGTGTGGGAATGCTTCATTAGTGCCAGTCTACAGTGGTATATACCTATTTACTTCTGCAGTGTTGGGCAGTAGCGTCGCTACAAGTAGCGCCATTACTAGTTCAACTACATTTCTCAATAGGGGATGTATACATCTTAAACAGAAGCGCAGCACAGTTTTGGACTGTGAGCTGCACTTTATTGGAGCTGCTAAAGTTAATGTGTGGGTTTTTTGTGAAATTTCAGCCTGATCAGTATTGTTTTTGGTTGGTTTCAGGGGGGTTGAAATCCTGACTGGGAGTCATCAAAACAGTTTTTAGTGCCAAGCAGTTGTTTAACTGTTTTTACAATTTGGAGGGTTGATATGGGTCTGTAACTGCTCATTACTGGGGGGAATGGGACAAAACCTGAAAGTAGACACATGCTGAAAATTTGTAGAAGATCTGAGGACATGCTAGAAACATTATTTTTTTAAAAAGCCTGTTGGTATAATATCAAGGCAACAGGAGGAGGATTTTCCGATGTTGTGTAACATAAGGTTTTTATGGTTGATTAGATCAAAGTGTGTCATGCTATTGGAATTGATTTTAAGTGGCCACAAGGACCACATATCCTCTGCCTGATATTGCAACATTGACGCTATCTAGGCAATTTCATTGCAGGGCCTGGTAGATTAAAGTTCAGAGGCTACTGGCACAGGAAGGTTTGTTAGCCTGTTGAAAGTAGCAAACAAGACACATGCATTATTATTGCTTTTGGTGCCATAACTGTGAAAAATGTGTCAAAAAGCTGAAAATGTGAGGCTCTCCTTCAAGGTTTCTGCCGCACTGTGCCTCGTGTCTTCTTGTTTTGATTCCTCTTGTCTGTTGTCATTGGCAGAGGGAACACGAGTGATGCAGAGCTGAACAATTGTACTCCTGACTTCTTAAGGCAAAGTCCATCTGTCTTGCGTGCACTGAATGGATAGGGAGCAATGTGTTCAGAGCCAACAATCTGCTGAATCTCTCAACTCCTCCTGGTGGTAGAGGGCCATGATAAACACCTCAGAATTCAGAGAGCTGACTGTGTTAAACAGATCAATAAAGTGAAGTTTCTACACTTCAGACTGTTTTTTTACAACATCATTGATACCTATTTGCACCACTGTCAGTTCCTGTGACAGTGGTGCAAATTGGATCACCAGTTGGTTGTTGGAGAGGTTTGTTGCTAACGCTCTTTCTCAGCTATCCACAGCTGTATCCTACTGAGAACGGGGGTTAAAAAGGCACACTGCCTGGATGATAATGCAGGCCAGCCAGATGCATCACAAATCTCATGGCGCTGAGTTCAGCCTGTTATTCGTCCTCCCATTGACCAGGGAAATTAATTACTTTTAGGCTTTGAGAGTACCAGGGAGGACTACCACTTTTGGATTTATTACCCAATACACAGTCCCCCTTTCTTGGTAGTCTTGTTAGTGCTAATTAGCCATGTGTTAGCATGCTCTTGTCCACTGTTTTGAGTCCATGGTAAAGTATTGTCATTTACACGTAGTTCATTCGCTTACACGTTCACTTCTGGATGTTGGTTTCTGGCACTGCAATCTTCTGTAGTAAAGGTGGGAATCTTGCTGCTAATTGGCTTTAGCTTACGTTTCTGGTCACTGCAGTACACGCAGTGCTGTTAGGTTGGCTGTCCTTGTGTGGTAGGGATCAAAAGTGTTGAAAATTCCAAAACCTAATGTAAGTAAATAAAAGTATCCGGGAGCAGCTACTCATTATTTCTAGTCTATATAACAAGATTATCAGCAAAAGAATGCAAGTAGAGGCAAGAACAAGCAGCCTTACAACTTACATTAAATTAAGAATGAGGCACTTTTACTTGTAGAGTAGCCTATTTTTATATTGTGGGTTGACATTCCTCACTAATGTAAGTAAGAATAGGCTACTTCTGTCATTCAATTATTCCACCAGATAATTTGCTTTAGGGGATGAAGAGAAACCACAGGGTGTCATATCAGATGTTCTCAAACTTTTCCCAGCAGTTGCCTTAATTTGATGAGATTTTTCCCTGAGGAGGCAATCTTAAATGATTTCAGGCTACTATAGAATCAGCTTAGCTACTGTCTATACCGGCTCTGTGAGGGTAATGACATCTCTGGAGAGAGTAGTCTCTGTGAAACATTGTCTCACAGTGTTCACCTCTTTGGTGAAAACAGTCTATAAAGGACACAAATCCACCATTAAAGACCTCTAGACAATCCAAGAACCATTCTGTGGGGGAAGCAGCTAAATATTTAAATTTTCTCCAATTGTAGATAATTGGGTGGCAGTGAACAGACACCCCACCCACCCCTGACCTGCTGAGAAGTAAAACGTCGCTGGATCCACGCCACGTTTTTCCCTGCGCCTTTATTTAGAGCTGTGTGGGTTATAAGGAGAATTGAAGGAAATAACAAGGGATATCAAACAAGGCGTGCAGAATAACAGGAACACGTTAGTATGTGCTGACTGAATGAAGGAAAACGAGAAATCAGGACGCATTTCTTTGCTGCTGCTGCGCTCCCGGAGCATGTATTCACCGGAGGATGCTGCATCTCCTGAACCGCTGCTATCGGCTCATAATTCGTGCAGTCTTCGCGATTGCATCGCACTGTGAATATTACAACGTATGACTAGTGGGAAACGATGTGCGATCAGGCTTGTGTGGAGCAAGAAAAAATATTGAACGTTTAGAAGATTTACGCTGAGCATCTGCAAGGATTTTTCTGCGCGCAGTCCTGCTCAGTTGTATCACTGCCGACTTCAGTTAGACGCAAAGGAGGGGGGTGAAAGACAGACTTGATAATCTCCTCACTGTTAAATTATTTAGGAGTATCTGTTCCTCAAGATCAACATATGCTGGTGTCTTTGTTTTGCATCTTGCGTGCATGATCTTAAAACCAGGCTTAAAGTGGCGGTGACACGGATGAAAGCAGATGGCTAGGCTCCCCAAATTTCCTCAAAAAGGGGATGAAACCTAAAATAACCCCTATAGCAAATGGTAAGAGATGATTTGGGATTTAGGAATCAGTGCAATGGCTCAAAATTGCGAAATTTTTTTGTTTTTCTTTGCTGTTTCTCCATAAGGTTTGTAGATTTAACCCGGTTACTGAATTATCTCTGCAGCTTTCCGCACATTGCAAGCCGAGGGAGCCCTGAATTTGTGACACGTACAGCTTCTCCGGAGACTCTCCCTCCTCCTGCCCCCCCACCTCCCTCCCTCCCTCCCCACCACTCGGAACCCGGACACCGGCGACTTTTTAATGGCTTATGTGTTCAGAAGATGGAGGGTTTTAATGGTACTGAATGTGATTGTGGTTGCTGGGTTCATAACATATTGGTCTAAGTGCAACACACGCAGCGTCCAAGACGCCGGTACAGAGGCTCCGGCGGACGGGAAGAGGCCCCGGGGCAACAGGACGGCGCAGGGGCCCAGCATCAGCCACGAGGTTCTGCTGACGAGACTCAGCTCGCTGGAGGACGTGGTCTACAGGCAGTTAAACGGTAAAGAGCAGTGTAACATTTAAACTGAAATAACATGTCAACCTGATTTCCCTTGATGAGCCTGTGAAAGAACAATGCTGTTTGACTTTCCCTTGACTTTGCCTTGTGGCCCTGACATGAAAATGTGATAAATTAATGTGTAAGGCTATGAGTTCCTTAAAACTCTACAACTCTATAGAGCCAATTTCTGCCCTAACACCTGTCACATTATTTCATTTTAAGCATGTTTGAGAGAATGCACTGCCTGTCAAAACTATAAATCCAATTCCTGACATGTGAAGAAAATGTCACCAACCTCTGCAGCTGGGTAGCAAAGATCACCACTGAAATGTTGATCTGCAATAAAACATTTGATTATAAATACAAGTTTGGGTTTAAATGTTACTAAATTTTGCTGCAGAAATACAAGTTATCCTACATTTATGGAAAAAGAGCAACGTTTTAACTTCTCTTCCTTTAAACTTTTCCAATTGACAATACATATTTTTGAATCATTGTGGGCTGCTTATGTTTCCCTGAAGGGCCAATGTCTTTCTTCCACCAGGGATGTCAGAGGTCAGGGTCGACAGTGGAGCAGGAGCTTTTAGGGATTTAGTGCTGTCAGGACACTTCAGCAGGATGTTTGCCAACACTGAGGCTTGAACACTTATCACGCTGAAGGAGAATCACTTTAATCACTCTGCCAGCCACAAATACACCCAGTCACACTACTATCTCATTATGCCTCTGTGCTGGCAATAGCCGTAGCTGTAGGCATTATTTTTTCGGGTTGTCCATCTCTCCATTTCATAGTTGGTCGGACACTGAATAGGTGACCTTTTGACTCAAAGGTCAAAGGTCATTGTGACGTCAAAATAGATTTTTAGCCATAAATTAAGAATTAATTGGCCAAATCCAGATTTTACACATACATTGACTGGGACTTTACCATGAATAAACAAAAACTAGTACAGTACAGGCTTTCCTCTGTCTTGTCTGTTCTGCCTTTCACTTTTATTTTGAATTTTGAGTGTTATCGGAATCATGTGATTGCAACGTTTTGGAGTGTGCCCAGCTAATTGTGATCCTGTGAGTGAGTTTCATCTACAATTCATAGAGAGGCTTTGCTTATAAAAATGGCAGGAGAAAAATAAATCACCATATTTTGTTTAGATCGTTCATTAATCCGTTCAACAATGTATATTCACTGTAATCAGACTTAGTTTGTATCATCAATATAGTGATAACTTCCATTCAGCTAAAAAATACTCTTTTATACTTATACTTATATTATGAGTCTGGACAGACTAAACTGCAAATTTAGTTGGTAAAGGAACCTAGATTATTCTAGTTGTATCCCTAATTTGAATCAGTGAACGCCTTGAAGCTTCATTAGCAGCTTGCAGCCTAGAAACTTTACCTTTTAAAAATAAATATTTATCGTTAGTTTCATCAGTTTCATGTGTATTTTTCATCACTGAGTGTACAGATACTACTGACCTTAGTAAGAGTAGGAAGCCCTAAAATTGTCCCTGTATTGAAGGTATTCCATGTGAATTTGTGCCAGCACTTGTTATGATGTGAATTCAACTCAGAGGTTCACCTCTTTTGACAGACTACATATTGAATGTTCATGAGAGGTTGGAGCTGTGACGGGGAGGCAGGCTATCAGCTTTAAGCCACAGAAGGCAGTAGTAGTGGGAGGAGAGTGGCTCCGCCAGACAAAATCCTGACATGTAATCTAGTAATCTTGTTTGCCTCACCCAGGTCTGTCCAAATCTCTGGGCCTGATTGAGGGCTTCGGGGTCGGGGTAAAGGCGGCTTCCCTGCCACACTGTCGCCAGCTGAGGAGAGTGACGCTAAACAGCTGAGGGAAAAGTATGGCTACAACGCCTACCTCAGTGATAGAATCTCTCTGGATCGGACCATACCGGACTATCGGCCCAGCAAGTGAGTAGGCCTACATGTGAAGCGGATAAACATAAAATTTTAATGTACCCCATGTGGTATCTAACCATGACATAGTTTTGGTTTTGAGATTTAGAGCACTTTTTGCAGAGCGCATGTAGTGTTCATTTGTAGGGCACTTCACCTGCCCAATTCAATCTCTCTCTCTCTCTCTCTCCCTCTCCCTCTTTGCCTTGTACTCTCATATTTGATGAAGTTGCACTATCAGACTGGCTATTGATCTCCAGGCATGCAACCTCTCTCTCTCTCTCTCACACACACACAGGTGCAGTCCTTGGATTAGCACCTTAGGAAGTATAAAAGGTGAATTGTGCTAGCATATCTTTGAGTGTCTGTACATCAACTGGTGCTATTCCTAAAAACTCTGTGCAATTTATTGAAATGCTCCCTTAAAGAGTCTCTGTCTGGCCCACATTCCTGATTGAGCGAGTAACAGCCCCTCTATTGAAAGTCAGCAATGACGAGAAAGCCCTCAGCCCATAGATGCCACCAGCTGCATGTGTTTTGGGAGTGGTGGAGTTGAGGCATTTGAATCTAGCACTGTCACTTGTCACTCGGGGGTCTTTTATGTTGCTGGGATCAAAGTGGTGTGTGAAGTGTGTTGGGGTGTGATATCTTCAGGCTTAGCAGCAGCATGTAAGCTAGAGTCTGTAATGTTTGGCTGAAGGTCCCTTTATACTGGGCAGCTGGAGGTGGTGGTGAAACAAGAGAGAGCGAGCATGAGAGAGAGAGAGATGGGAAAAAAACAAAGAACAAAATGTCAAACTACAAATAGTATAAAGAACAAACATGGTAATTTATTGATATGTAATGTAAATCTGCTCACTGTCTTTTCAGGTAGATTAAATTTGTCTAAATCTGCTTTCCCCAACAAATAGAGAGGTATGTTACATCGGCACAAGCGATTTTAGCTTATCACAGATATGTCAGTATCCACATCTATATCGGCTGAAAAGTAACAAGTAACTGCAGTTCAGAAATGTCTACAGAAGAACCTTCAGCTGATGAGCTGGCTCTTACAGTCATATTCAGAGTCAATGAAGCTGTACTTGTAATGTGTCAAGTTCACACTCTCACACTGTTCTCTTATCTGCTGTACACTGCTGTTACTGGTTATGCTTATTTGCATCATCCCTGTCTCCTCCTGTTAGTTCCTATTATTACCATAATATTTGTGGCATCTCCTGCCTTGTACATTATGTACTTATATTTTCAATTTCAGTGTGGTATGTTTTTCTTTTTAATACGTCTCCCTCAGACTGTTGCACTTCTGCTTGGTTTCATTTGGGAAACTTCTTCAAACTGTATTCCCTTTTGTTCCAAAAAATAAAAAAATAAAATAGTGTCTTTGAATGCAGTACCTTTCTAACATACATCATTATTCCATCATCATGTTTGTAATATTTTGGCTTTTTCCTGCGATAATTTAGGTATCCAAAATCTCAGGGCTTTCTGTCAAATATCTTATATAAATAACAAAACTATTGTTAATTCTGTTAATTCATTGTTAATTCAGTAATAACCATGTTGGCATCTATTTTGATGGTTTTCTGCCAAAAAGCCTAAAAAAAATGCTGGATTTATTATAGAATTGCTATTAACATTTCATTTCACAAAGGCAGGAAGATTATTGCTAAAAGGAAATAAGTTTCCTCTTCCACTCTTACAGAACTTAAGAAACCTCACCCTGCCTCTTTTACTATTTTGGTTATCTACTAGGCTAATCAGTTTGAGTAATTAAAAAAAAAACAAAAAGTAAAACTTCCCTAATTTCAGTTTAAATGTGAATATAATCTGGTTTCTTTACTCCTGTATGAAAGTAAACTGAATATCTTTAGGTAGTTGGAGTTTTGGGAAACGCTGATCGACATTTTTCACCATTTTCTGAAATTTTACAGACCAAATAACTAATCGATTAATCAAGAAAATAATCAATAGATTATTGACAATGAAAATAATCATCAGTTAAATGTATCTGTCTGTAGATAAATCTGCAGCAGACACACTGTGAATAAGTAAATTTAGATCGTTGAACAGGAAGCAACATATGATTTGATTGTCAGCCTCATCGGATAAGATGTCAGCAGCTCCATGGAGGCAGTTTGGTCTTTTATAGCAATGATGGAAGATGTGTGCTGTTGAAGTACAACGACTTCCCCGAGTTGTTTGATGGAAAAGGACATAGAAGAGACGAGAGATCAGATTCAAATCACACCTTTATTAATACAGATGTATCTGGAGACCCATCTAATTAAGGGTCTGACTACTCTTCTGCTCAGCTGTGTATATGTTGATGAGACATCACCCAGCTGCACGTCCCATATTACCTTATATGGAAGTTGTCAATAGGTGTAGAATATTTCTAGTGTGCCTTAAGGGCTGTCATGTGTGACTGTATTCAGAAAAGTGTGAAGTGTGTCAGAGTGTATTATTGTCAGAGCTCGGTTTCCTGTTATTCAGCACAAGCTTCTAACTTTCTTAAATGCTGAGTTACCTAAGATAAGCATGTCACACAATATTGAGTATCATATGAGCAATCATAAGTAATAAGTAAGCATATAAGACAATCATATCATGCAATATCACTGTAGGGTGGTGTTGTATATCCACAGTGCAAAGCCCAGAATGCAGACTTCACAGGCAGGCATGGAAAGTTTTTATTTGGTGATAGATGGTGTGGGGTGTTTGTGTGTCTCTATGCAGATGCGGAACGATCAGCTACCCGAGAGACCTCCCACAGATCGCCCTCATCTTCATCTTTGTCAACGAGGCTCTGTCGGTGATCCTACGTTCAATCCACACAGCTGTCAATCACACTCCAGCTCATTTGCTCAAAGAAATCATCCTGGTGGATGACAACAGCGATGACGGTCAGTAAAAATGGAAGATTTCTTATGCCAAATCCCAAATGAGGAAAGTAGCAACGTCTTTTACTCCTTCTGATTTGATACCCTGTATCGTAAAGTATTTGCCTGTAGAGGCCAATGAAGAGTACAGAACAACAGGAGTAAAAGACAGGCCTCTTGGTTTGATACAAGACACAGGTTCAATGAGATTAAAGAGCTGAAAGCAACACATACGGTATATCGCAACAGTTTTTACCTTGACTATTTAATTTTTCTGCAAACATAAACCCACACTGTCAGAACAATGTAAGAGATGATAATTACATAAAACATCTATGCAGTGGCATCAAAAGAATACTTGTAATTGGGAAATATGCTTATTTTCTGTCCTGACAGTAGATAGATGAGAAGAGCTACAGCCAGCCGCTGGTCAGCTTAACTTAGGTCAGAGATTGGAAAGAAAGGGAAACAGGCAGCCTGGTGCTGTCCTACGGTAACAAAATCCACAGCACATCTGAAGCTCACTGACTAATCTGTTATATCTGTTTTGTGTAATGTGTACAAAAAAAGTAAAGTGTAAAAGACACAGTTTGCTCGGGGGGTCTGTGCCAAACTATTTCTTGGCCCTGATATAGTCCCAGATATGGGTGTGGTGTCGATGCAATCACCCAACTCTATTAAATATTTGCTGTAAGGCCTTTTCGCAATGACTGATATTTTTTTTGCCCATGGACAACAATCCATGTTTATTATCTAGAAAATTATCTACACATATAGGTGCCGACACATGCGTTATCATTCCCAAAGGTAACATAATTGCTGGAGTAGCACTCTAAACTCTGTTGCATTCTTAGTCTCAGCTGTTGGAATAAAAACACATCACACACTCCAAACATAACACAGAGCCTGTGCCTCTGAGGTGTTGTTATATGGGATGAAGGCATCAAACTGGTAAAATGGCTTTATTGACCTGAGGTGATGACAAAAGCCGTGGTCATTGCTTTTGAGGAGCAGCAGCTGAGGTGACTCATGGTGTCAAATTTTTGCAGGACAGGGAGAAAGAGGCGGAGCACCACAATAGGATGTCACGGGAGAGATGTTGCCATCTTATTTATTGGGCAGGGCTGCCAAGCTTGGATTTGGGAGATGAAGGGACAGAGGAAGAGATGAGGGGAGGGAAAGGTGGTGAAAACAGGCAGAGCAAAAAAGAGAGAGGAGGTATGGGAAAGATAAAGACAGCTAGGGGTGCTGGTGTTGGAGAGAAATTAGGAAAGAAGAGATGAAACTGAAAAAGAAAGAATAGGCCGAGGAGTGAGGAGGGCTGGAGGGTTTGAAAATAAGCAAAGTGAAAAGGAGGGCGAAGGAAGAACAAGGCAACGGTGATGAAGAGGTATGACAGAATGAAAGGAGAGGCTGAAAGAGCAACCAGGCTATTAAAGAAAGTGGCAGAAAGAGAGAAAGAACGAGAGAAAGAGAGGCTCTAAGATAAATGAGGTCAGACAGAGAGGAGAGAGAGCGTACAAGCTGTTGGACATCCGGAAGAGAGAGAAGGAGAGCAAAGACAAATAAAGAAGAACAGGAAGGAAGAGATGAGGTAGTCAACGCTTTAAAAGGATATTGTACTGTAAGATCTTGCAACTGATAAGATGTCTAAAGCAGCAAGAAACACAAACACTCACGCGACTCAGTGAGTAGAATTCTAGCAAAACCTTTAGAAACGATGGCCAAAACAAGAATATTCTTTAAAACACATTTGGTGCTCTAGTGAGTATTTTCAGCTGCAGGATGATGTATGGGACTGGCTCAAAAAAATATGCAGTGCTACTGTTCATCATGATGAAGGAACTTTTTTTTTTTTTAGATAAGGGGATTTTAGGGAATGGTGATGAATTGGACAAGACACAAACCAACACTGTGTGTCCCTGAGCAAGACATTTAACCCCTATTTGCGCCATAGGTGGGCGACCTCTGACATCTTTGGATAAAAGCTAAATAAATGTAATGTAATGTCACATAAAAAAAGACAATGGGGGTATAGGGATCAAAGGAATAAGCACACAGGCAATACTTGTTCAATCAATTCATTGTTGGATTTGGACTTTTGTGGATAAATGGATGAAATAACCCCTCACCAATCTCACTGCCTGCACGAGTAACCCAGCTCCACGGCCTCATAGTGTACACTGTGTACACAGTGTACGGCTGTGTTGTAATGATGTGATGTGTGTGCGTGAGAGAGAGAAGACACAGAATGGGAAATGAGTTTGTGATTGAGAAAGAAGTAAAAGAGGCAGAAAGAAAGAGAAAGAAAACACAGAGAGCATGAGAAATGTGTTTTTGTTTAAGGGAATTCTTAAGTGTGTGTGTATGTGATGCAGAGGAAGAAGGGTCGTGAGTGTTTAGGTCTGGGGGGGAAAGGCTAATGAGATGATTGAGAGATCAAAGGTGGCGCAATCAATGACGCTCAGGAAGCCGCAGACTCCGTTGTGTTGAGTCTGTTGGAAAACTCAAAACAGCATCGCAGGGAACAGAGGGAGCAGATTTATGTCATCTTTCAGTGTGTGCGTCATTTGTGTGTCTTTACTTTCCATAAAAACTGATCATTGTGTACTTGTGGTGGAGCTTTTCATTTGGTTGTGTATGTCTGTGTCAGTGTAATCAGTGATGCTTGGCGTACATCATAGTGGTTATCTTTGTCAGTCCAAGACAAGAGATAATGCGATAATTATCCTAATGAATGGGGGAAATAACTGAAGCTAAGCAGCCTGTACAGGTCAGTACTCACCAGCAGATCATATACTTTCAAGCTGTATTTTAAGATTCTATTAACAATCCTTATTTAAACATGTGGCATATGATATGGTATGGCATATCTGTTCTGTCAGCTGATGCAATTACTCTGCAGCATTTTCTTTTGTAATTTTGAGATGGTAACATTGTCATACAGGTTTTATTTGCTATTCCTAGTCTCATGTTTATGTTTCTTCCTGTCCATCTACTACAGACCAAAGTTATACTTTATGGAGAGCTCCAGAGAAATTTTCAATTCTTTTACTCCCTTTTATTTAAGAGGTCAAAGGCCACAATCAGGTACTGTGCTGTGCAGCAAAACTGGAACTAAGGGGCTTTAATATCTCCTTGACGCCTGTTTTTATTTACAAATATATAAGAAAATGTATTATTTTCGTTATCAATTGCTTTCAAGCTGATGCTAAATTAAGTGGAGATAATTTAATGTTAATTTGTCTATAGAACATAGAATAGATTCAGGTATGATATAGGTATGATGCAAATAAGTGACAACAGGCATAAACGAGAAACCAGTGCTTGCAAAAGGATCCTAGGTACGTATCGAATATTCACAAACAGGCAATGGGGGAATACATACGCTATCTCAGCTGCAGTCTGAATGGAAGCGGTGTGATGCGAATTTGCGACAATTGACGTTAAAGCGGTGGTATTATGCTTTTTGAGTTATATAGCGAAAAAGCCAAAAGTCCAACCCAAAGGGAATTCCCATCTCCCACAGAAAACTCTGCTCTGAACTGCTTGAAAACAGCTTGTTTGTAGTCCAGGCACTTCCCTTTCGGCTACTCCGACACGCCCTCAAAAACACTGGTGGAAAAACAGTGAGCTGCAGCACCTGTCTCCTCTCCCTCCCAAACACTAGCTACCCTCCAGGCAGTCAATGGACATAAAGTTGTTACTGTGATGTAGAGACAGAGCTCAGTTAAAACTTTATGGATGAAAGATACTTTTGTTACAGATTAATAACTCACCACTCTGAAACTCTTGCTCCAGTCCATGTTGCTAAGCTGGTTGCTGAAATGAAGCCGTGTTTGCTTCTCACTGACCCGCCCTTCTCTGCTTCTGATTGGCTAGTAGTCCTTAACTACAAACTGCGCATGTGCAACTCCCAACAAAGATCATTTAGATGTATCACTCCATAGTTAAAACAAAGTGTTCACCGGTTGAAAAGAGGAGCTGCAGCAATGTGCTGTAAGAAAAAAAATATGGTGTTCAAAATCAAACCATGTAAACCTGTTCTGGTACAACCCTTAAATAACATTTATATAACATTTCTTGTTTGGTGTGTAATCTTCGTTTTACGGACTGCAGAGCAGCTGAAAGGACCACTGGAGGAGTATGTGAACAAGCGCTACCCCGGTCTGGTGAAGATCGTCAGGAACCAGAAGAGAGAGGGACTGATCCGTGCCAGAATTGAGGGTTGGAAGGCGGCCACGGCTGAGGTGACGGGATTTTTTGACGCCCATGTGGAGTTCACCGCATTCTGGTGAGCAAGACTGGCATGTGAATGGAATAAATGTTGATACCTAAACATAGTAGGTGTCAACGATGTCTGGATTGCAAACTAATATTTTGAAAACATCTTTGGATCCCCCTTTCTCCTTTCAGGTAGAATCAACTTCACTTTGGCCACTTTATGAAAATTAGAACTCATTATTCCGAACCAAATAGTGTTAAGACCCACTGAATTACAAATAATGATAACAGCAACAATAATAGACTTCATGTATCACTTTTAAAGAAAAGTGCTTTACAGAATCACTGAAAGAGAGGACGAAGGATAGCAAAGGCAGTATACAACGAACACACAAAAATAATTTCACACCTGAGACGTTTCCAGATAAGACGAGAAGGAGAAGGGTAGAGCCTGTTGAATTAGACTTGAGAGATACAGTAGGACATATAGCTTATCAAATAACAAACAAGACATAAAGCAAGCAATAAAACAGAACAATGCTCAGAAGCCTGTTTATAAAAGTACATTTCAAGGAATTGTTTAAATGATGAACTGATATAGCCAAGACGTAAACACTTGACTCCTGTTTGTAGGTTTCCTGTTCTTTTTCCAGCTCAGTGTCAACTAAACTATGTACACAATCCAGTTCACTCAGCATAAATAGACAATATCTGCGAAAGGTGCTATACAAATAAACTTTACTTTACTTACTTACTTACTTACTTAAGGGACTTCACTGTAAAACTCACTGAAGTGGGTGAAAGATGTTATGCAGTCTGTCTTTTAGTTTGTGTCTGTAAAGTATGTACATGTGTATGTGTATACACTCTTGCCAGGGCCGAGCCGGTTCTTGCCCGTATTAAAGATGACTACAGGAGGATTATTCTGCCCTCCATCGACAACATCAAGCACGAGACGTTTGATGTGGAGCGCTATGAGAACTCAGGCCATGGCTACAACTGGGAGCTGTGGTGCATGTACATCAACCCGCCCAAACAGTGGTGGGATGACGGGGACACATCCGCTCCCATCAGGCAAGTTCACCCATATAACCTGTTAGATCCCGAGTCACCCCTGCCCCAAGGATAAGTTAATTTCAGTGGCTAGAGCAACCTATAAGAACCTCAAAGATGTTAAACACACTTTACCTAATTGATTACTACCTTAGTGAGGAAATAACTTCAATGTCGACTATCGTTCTTTAAATGCAGTGATTATATATTTTATTGCATAAAGTTAGCAAGGGCAAGCATACAACTAAAATTGGTTAAAAATGAGTAAAAATAATAAAACTGTTTAAAATTCAAAACCTGATACGAATAGCTGAGCTTGAGTGTTTTTGGTTATCTTCTTTTTGGAGAGAAAGGGAGGGGAAGGAGTTGTCCTGCAGTGAAATCCTTCCTCCGCTGCGGGGCTGCGGACTCCGGAGGAGACTTGAGGCTTTGTCCAGAGCCCTCTACCGTCTGTCGAAGTCTTCAGTCTTTGTTGCAGTTGAAAAGGAGAAAATCTTCCGAGTCTGATGATTCTTCAGTTGTCTTGGCTGTTATGGTTATCCTCCGTGGCACGATCTGTTGATACTTTGCTGAAGAAATCTCTGAAGCGTTCTCTAGATGTTAGTTGTTCAAATCCCCAACTCTTTGGCTCTTGGTCCGGTGCGGTGATGGTCTTGCTCCGAGTCCGATGCCTCTTGAGATCCACCGAGGAATAACCCCGATCTCTTTCTGGCTTCTCTTTATATATCCTATTCTGTGGCTGATTTCTTTGTCATATCAGCCACCACCCTTATCCTGTCCATGTGACTACTGTCACATAGCTTGTTCATCCTTAAATTTAGTTGGGCCAGAGATGTCCTTATTTGGCCATTTCATTTCCCCTTGCTGACCCTTCTCTCCCAATGACTCATAGTCATGATGTCTTCACCCAAACTTAGTGACCTTTTGCATTTAACCTTTACCCTAATTCTCCGTACTTTAACCATATTATGTATTTTACAATCGGAAGATCAATTCAATTTATTAACCTTCAATATCAATGAGATATCCTGATTTTCAATCATCATATCATGTTTAATACCAAATATCTTTCTCTTAATTATTATTCAATATATTGCTTATAGCATTGTTAAGCTCTGTGTTTTGCAGATGGAAGTATGTTGCACTTCCCTTTTCTCACTCACTGTTGTTACTAAAGGGAGAAAGGCTCCAGTTTTCTTCTTTGCGACCTGATAGTAAGAGCGTTGGGATCTCAACTTATTTGACAAACCACACCCAGTTTGTGTGTCTCACATTATCAAAAGTTGTTGAGGATATACTGTTGGGATGAGTCGGGGGGGGTATTAGCAAGATTTTTAGAATATGGTTTTAACCCACACAATTGTGTTAAATCAGATTGTCATGCATAATTAAATAATTATTATAATTAATTATTAAATAATTAAATAATGATTATAAATAATTGGTTTTAAAAATAGGAGATGAAAATGCTCTGTATTTGTGTACCGCTTTTCTAGTCTTTTCAACCACTCAAGGTGCTTTTACACTACATCCACAAACTGAGCCTAAGTGCTCAATCAGAAACTAACGTACACACATTCATACTGGTGGAACAGCCACCAGGGGCAGTTCGGGGTTCAGTATCTTGCCCAAGGACACTTTGACATGCAGCCTGGAGGAGCCGGGGATTGAACTGCCGACCTTCCAATTAATAGGCAACCCGCTCTACCGCCTGAACCACAGTCAAAAATACACACGTGCACAAACATCTGCAGAACATCTGCATGAATACTGTATCTAAAAACATAGAAAACCACATTCACACAGACAAATGCATACAGGGTTCTGATTTACATTCACAAAGCCAAGCAAGTTCAAATATTCAGTGTCAATTGTTTTCATATTGTTATGTTTTCCTTATTGCAGGTCTCCTGCCATGATTGGCTGCTCTTTCGTGGTCAACCGTGAGTACTTTGGTGAACTCGGCCTGCTCGACTCAGGCATGGACGTCTACGGAGGGGAGAACATCGAACTGGGCATCAAGGTTTGTGTGTCACCCAGTTTCCTCTTGTTCCTGTTCCCTCTTTACCCCTGTAGGTTTAAGTGGAGCAGTGGCCACCGTAGCACGGCACAGCTGATAAATGAGGCCCCATTAAGAGTCCTGGAGGACCAGTCCTGTGTGTGCAGCTCACAGCAGGGCAATGGAGATAAATAGGTCACAGGGAGTGGGAAGGTTGGGGAGTTTGTTGCCGTACATTTGGAATGACACGAGAGTCTGTTGTTGTTCTTTAGGGTTTTTTTGTGTTATTGAAAATTTTTCATCTCACTAAAGTGAGTACACCCCTCACATTTCTGTAAATATTTGATTAAATATTTTCATGAGACAACACTGAAGAAATGACACTTTGCTACAATGTAAAGTAGTGAGTGTACAGCTTGTGTAACAGTGTAAATTTGCTGTCCCCTCAATCACACATCACACAGCCGTTAATATCTAAACCACTGGTAACAAAAGTGAGTACAAATAAATATCTTTACAAAAATGTGTGGGGTGTACTCACTTTTGTGAGATACTGTATGACAGAAGTGTTTTTAAACACTTTCCACCTCTTTCCATTAGATTATTGAATTGGAAAATCAAGAGCCAGATATTTTTCTCAGGAGTTGGTGGAGACCAAACCAGAGCTAAAAGGAGAGTGAGTACTGTACAGAAAAAGGCAATGAAACTGCTAATGGTTCTCCATGTCTCTACCTTAGCTATCTTTATAAGCTGGGGGACATTGTGATGTCTGTGTATCTGTTAGCTTATTTTTACATTTTCTGTCCTCTATTGGCCCCAATTTTTTTTGTTGCTCGCTTTAAGTTAATGTCACTGTTCTTTAACACCATCTACCTGCAGGTGTGGTTATGTGGTGGCAGTATGGAAGTGCTGCCTTGTTCCAGGGTGGCTCACATCGCACGGACGAAGAAACCCTACCATAATAACATAGCTTTCCACACACGGCGTAATGCTCTACGCGTGGCTGAGGTCTGGATGGATGACTTCAAGTCCAATGTCTATTTGGCCTGGAACATCCCTATGGAGGTGAGAGACGGCTGTTGTTGTGGGCAACTGCTCATGCGGGGAAGATGTTGCTGGCCCCGTTTGGTTCACATTCAACCACTGTCACTGCTGAGCTATATCTCAAATTAAGACTGTTAATGTGGAAAAAAGGCCTTGAGAAGCAAAGACTTCCTATAATGACTCCTTGTGCTCTTGCAGAACCACGGAATTGATTACGGAGACATATCTGAGAGGGTTGCACTGCGGAAGCGTCTGCAGTGTAAAAACTTTGAGTGGTACCTCGACAATGTTTACCCAGAGATGAGGAAGTACAATAACACGCTGTTCTACGGTGAGGTGAGTCAACATTCAAAGAGAAGCTTGTACATCTAATGTTTCAGTGGAAGAAACCACTGAAAATAGAAAGATAGGTGAGACAAATAATTCCTGAGGGGTTAATAAGAAAGTATCTTAACCACAAAACAAAAACACAGATAGAAAACACTCAGCATATCCTTTTACACCATCTAAGCTGTGTCATGACATAATAGTGATATATAAACAGTAATGCTGATTTATTTATGTTACCATGATTATTTTGAGAATACCTAAACAGTTTGGGAATATTAGGACTTTATACAAAGATTTGTGCCAGGTGAAATTGTGATCAAAGATGCCTTTTGATTTCAGATTCATAACTCTAAAGTGAGCAACCTGTGTATGGATCAAGGCATTAGGGAGAACCACACAGCCACTCTGCATCCCTGCCATGGATGGGGTCCTCAGGTACAACGTGGACACCAAGCGCTCAACAAAATGGCCACAAAGTGCATCTCTCACCATTATCTTTACTCTCAGTAGTGATGTGATTTACAGCCATGTTTCTCACACTGCCTCCATTGAAATTCCATTAGGAGAGAGTTCTACTGTCAGGTCAGGATAAAAATGTTTCAGGGTTGCACTTTTTGCCCTGAGTCAGCCAATGTCAGTCCTGAGCCATTCAGCTTGCGAGGTATCTCTTTGTAGCTTGTAAATAGTTGCTCCAGGAAGTAAATAGGTGCTCCAGGAAACGCAGGTCTTGGCTTCAGTAGTAAAATTCTGAAAGCTAGCAGAGCTAAAAATAACAATTCTGGTAGTGAATGCAGCACAGTATCAGCCTTTCTACAAATAACATGCTCCTTTACATTTCTTACATATGTATTGTGACAAGTTATGCCAAAATAATACATTTTTAACAGTGCTCAAGAGACCACATGTGGGATTTGTTGGGTTCTAAACCCAAAATATACCTATTACACCTGGTTTATGCACTGCAAACACATGACGCAGTTTTAAGTACTCTGCATGTGTTTTTAACATTTCTGTAGCTGTATAACACCAGAGTCCTTACAGGGCAATGCAGGCAGAGACTCATCAAACTAGGCTGCTTTAATATTCAAAGACTGGATTGAAGCACAACTCAAAACTGACAGCTTAATCTTTCTGTTGCTAACTTTTTATTGTAAAGCCCTGCACGACAATGTGAGAAACTACACAACACAAATACGATCAGTCTTTGCTAGTGGCACACCGGCATAGCAAAATAATCGCTTTTGTCTTGAAATTATGAAGTGCTCAGATTTAACCATTCAGTACAGAAGTGATCTCTCAAGTCTATCAAGTTTCATCATGTTGCTCTCAAGTTGCATTTCTTCCCTTCCTGTGGAAGGTGATTTGATACTCGATTGTTTCCTTACTAGACAACATTGAAATTAGATAAGGGAAGAGTAATATTGTGTGTTTTCAACATTATTGAAGCAGCACTGTAATTAAGACTAAAAAGATGGGTGTGGTTTTACAGAAAAGTCAGAAAAAGCATTTACAGTACAGCAATTCGTAGATTACAAAGACATGTTAAACCTGTCAGCACTATTTGGAACAACATGTTCTTTCTGTTTAGAGCAAGCAAAAAGCAGCTTCTAGAATAAAGTTCCCTGCCAAATTCACAGACTTCCTTACCCTTGCACATCATCACATTATAATTTCATTGCAGGGTCTGAGCCAATGGAACATATATGATTTAGAGTTCACAAAATTCACTCATATGGTTCTCAAGTGCATGTTAGATTCAGCATTTTTGGTCATATTAGTTCACCAAAATGCCCACAAATTCAGATTAGCGTTGTTTTAAAATTTCTAAAATAAACGTGGGTACCTAGTGGGAAACTTAGTAGTAGAGACAATGTTTGTGATTCCCTGGAGACTGTTGTACATGTAATGTTTCCGTATTTCCCCTCAGTTGGGACGTTACACCAAAGAGGGTCAGCTGTTCCTGGGCCCTCTGGGCAGCACTGGGGAGGACACTCGCTGTGTGGTGGATGATGAGAGCAGCAAACTTCCCCAGCTCTTAGACTGTGACAAGGTGACCAGCGTGAACCAGAAGACATGGGATTTCTCTCAGGTGAGAAGAAGAAAAAAAATTGTTTATTTTAATGAAGTAATTGAGTGTTTGTTCACATGAAAAGCAGAATTTCATTGATTTGTGAATGCTAAATAATGTAAACCTGACATAAAGGCTGGATAAAAGCACAGAGATGAGGATGGAGATGTAATTTGTGCTATTAGCCTTTACCTTGTGTGGCAATTTCAAGTGAATTTACAAACTTGCCACCAAAATGTATTTGAGAAAGTATTTCTGTTAAAGTACAAGTACAATATGTGTCACAACACTCATCATTAAACTAATTTGTCATTTGTTTATGGTGTAATTACACTAAACTAATGAGCCCATTTTTGAGGAGACAGGTTTTCTTTTTTTCTTTACTGAAGACAAAAACCTGTTCATCATTTTTCCGTTAGTCTTTTAGTTCTACTTGAGAAATTTTAATAGCTAAAGAGTCAAAGGGTTTAAGTTGTCACTGCCGGTCGATCCTGTGTCACACAGTCCAGTTAAACAGGTTGTTGTTTCCTGCAGTGGTCTCTTATTGTTTGTGGTAAAAGTGTCACTAATGTCTCCAAAAATGTGACAATGATTTTATAACATAACATTTTTTGATATTAGTATTATGTAGCTCAACTTTAAATGTATGTAAGTGTGTTTTTTGCCCACATTTTACACCATTAAAACACAATAATTAATACATTAATTAGCTGTCCACATAAAGCTTGGTTCTTGTCACATCCTGTCAGTCAGATGCAATTTCTGTAAAACTTGACAAGAACAGAACCAACACCAGCTCTCCTCCTGCCCTCTAGAATCAGGCAATCATAAATCGAGCTACCGGACGCTGTCTGGAGGTGGTGCCGGCTAACGTTGCCTTCAACCACCTACTGGTCCTGCAGACCTGCTCCGGTCAGAAGTGGACCTTCAAGAACACCATGAAGCAGTAGACTGGCCAATTTCACTGGAATCAATGAGTCCATTTTCAAGTGATGTCACCTGACCTCAGTTTGGCCGGGGAGCAACTGATAAGGCAGAGTTTTAAAAAGGTTGCCATAATACCTGTATGTGCCACTTCTCTAGATTTGATAAGCCAAAACTGTGTTCTGTCTTATGTGGGGGAAAAAAGGTTTCTATCTTCATCCTCATTGTTTCTGCATTATATCATTCTGGACCATTATTATGTCTTTTAAGATGAGTACAATAATAATAATTAAAATTTTCAGTAATACTGTATGAACTGATCAGAATACAACTTTTTTTCAACTTTTTATCTTAAGATTCATGAAAATGAAGGAATGCCTACTTATGAAATGCATACATTAACAGTGAATAAACATGTATGCCCAAAAGGGATTTTTATGTTCTTCTTACAGGCCTAAACCCTGTACATGTTTATAATTTGAAGGAAAAGGTATTTACAATAAATATTCCTTGGGGTATTGGAGTTTATTTTGTTTGTTTTTTTGTAAATCATCTCATAAATCTCATTTTCGGGGGCTACTGGGCTAAATCGTGGTTTTATATGTCATGGATGCATTTGTCATTTTTTAAAGCATTCGGTTGCACCAAATGCAGTACATCTTGTAGCATGATTGTTAAGTAATGTATGCATATGGGGACAAAGTTTAGTTGAGCTGGGGTGATTTATTCTGTTGAGTGCAGCTACTGCAGACGGCCAGTAGTTGCACTCAACAGAACTTTTTTGGACAATGAGAGGAAGAAGTGGAAAGTGTATTGATTGTGGAAATGCTGAAGGCCTTCAAGGCTGGTATTGTTACTGTACTGAGATGTATATGATGTCATATATTCAATAATTCAATGTTATCAGTTGGATTTTCACTCCCAAGATTGTCTTCCAATAAAAAACTGGTTTCCTGGTTTTGCGTGATTACTGTTTCTGAGCTTAGAATAAGGGTTTTTGAATGATTGATTAATTGTGCACAGTATTGATTGTTTGGTCAAAGAAACAGGTTTTATTGTTTTGTGTTTTGTAAATCTATTTATAGTTGTACCCAATCAGTAGATCAAAGTCTTCTTGTGCAAAATTATAATTGTGATTTTTATAGAACCTAACATATTACTTTTATTAAATTCCTATACCAATATTCATATTTTTAGTTGATGAAATGTCAAAGTATTTCATTTCTGTGTCTCTGGGCTTCAAATAAGCTTGAGACTCTGCAGAGTAAGAGCTATCATGCTGGGCTGCTTTCCTTTAAACTGCTCCATCCATTTGCATGGTTTTGGTCAAAAAGGTTTTTTTGCCCTTTATATAATTCCCAAAAATAGACTACTTCAATTTTCACCCTCAGCTCCCAGCTGCATGGCATCTGGTGCAACAGTGAACAACAACTTGGCGACATTAAAGAGACTGGCCTATAAATGGAAAGTTATGGATACAATCCTCTAGCACCCCTGTGTCCTGTAAAAAGTGTCCTTGAACTAGATGCTGAACTCCAACTGCTTAGTCTCGCTAAGATGCTCTGGGTGAAGCATCAACTAAACGCTTAGGATGTTAATGAAACAGGAGGAGCCTGCTGGGAGTACAAGGGCCTGTTTCTAACAGAGAGATGGAGAGGGTGGTGTGGCTCTGGAGGACAGAGCCTGCATGCTAACACAACACTGAATACTGATCAGACTCTCTACCGACAGGCCAGCTCATCTCCTCCTGGCATGAAATAGGATTAATATATGTTGGTGAAAATCATGTTAAATGTCAGTCAGCAGTTACTGTCGGTACCACTAAGGACAGTCTGATCAAATGAACATCACAGATTCTTGTTGTGTTACTCAGGTGTAAAGTGGATCTTACAGGGACAGGTAATCGCCTACTTTGTACATGTAGAAAATTAACATTAAAAAATGATAATTTTAAATGATGATGAAAATTAGTCAATTAAAATGATTGGATTAAATTATACCCTAATGAAAACCTTATTTCAGATGTGAAATTGTAATTTGGTTATATTACTGTCATTGGTTGTGAGTGAAATAATTTAAAAAGACAATCAGTTTCCATCTGACAGTATTGTCCTGATCACGAATGTTCTGTATCTCTCTGTGAGCAGCAGAAGCTGTTTTAATCACAGGACAGAGAATCAGTGTAATCAAAAATGATCACACCATCATTGTGCTATATGGCACTGTGTTTGGTTACCTGTGCAGGTCAGTGTCCCTGAAGCAGATCTGTCTCCTGTGCTTGCTCCCTGCTTGTGTGTATCTCTGGATTAAGAGTGGGCAGGATATGGACCCCATGTCTGTAATAAATTTTTGATTTATTGATAAGCTATAATATAAATACTTTTCTATATGTTACTGCAGCTGGACTGCAGTGACATATATTAAGATACAAATGTTCAATTTGGTTTCAAATTAGATTTGTGCCTTTTGAAAAGGGTTATTTTTACAGTAGAAAATTATTTTTTAATTATTTGGGTTAACAAAGTGAGATAACATATGGCCTATTTAGAAGTGCACTGAATCAGTTTACTTGTGTCAGTACAGCTTTACTATCTCAGTGCCTAATGCCACCCTCTTGTGGTCTTATTGCGGTCACAAATAGATAATAGGGTATACACTCAGTGGCCACTTTAGCAGGTACAATCTAATGCAATACAATACATCAGTCTTTCCATAACATCAGTCTTTACCAAGCTCACGACGTTCAGTTTTTGGTGACATTGTCAGAAATGTGTTGAAGTATATTTTTATTATTGAGGTCATGATGTTGTTGTACTGAATCATATTATAGTGAAAGTAATTTTTAATATTCTGCCACCCCTCATGTTTGTAAATTGAAAGGACAATATAATGTAGTCCAGTTATACATCACCTAACAATGACCTCAATAATAAACATATAATTGAATTTAAACATTTCCAACAGAATCAGCAAAAACTGCAATTGCCCTTTTAAATTTGTTTTCCTGTACTGACAGTCTGCATGTTGTTTAGGTTTTTATTTGCATCTCCATTTAGACTGCAATGGTGTGTAAATAAATACAGGAAAACTTTAAAGGAACCCCTTCAATGAAAGCCCTTAAATTGTTCATAAAAGCTGACATTTACGTGGAATAAGTAACTTTGTATGTTTCTCAGTCTCTCACAATGACAAAGGGGTTTATTAGGTATAGTTAAGGACTCTGTCCTTAAAGCTGACTATGTGAGAAAACACTGAGCAGTTAAGTCGAGCAATTTAAGGCTCATTTTATTTTATTTTATTTTATTAACCTTGATGCATAGTATCTGATGACTTCAAAGTTAGAGACTTTTTCCAACATCCAAAATGTTAAAAGGTTCAATCCCCGTGACTGAATGTCCTGATGACTGCTTGTGAATGAGCCAAAGTCCAAAATGAAATAAAACAAAAAAGCACAATTTAAAAAAAAAAACAGTTTTATTGCATTTATGCTTAATCCTTTGACCTTTGTACATATTTCAGTATTTACAATTCCATAATTATGCCCCTAATAAATAGTAACTGAAAGTCTTTATCTAGTCTACATGTTTAAATATTGCACATGCTTATGTATAGTGTGCTTGTCTAATAGATATGCTATGTTATTAGCTATGTACAAAGTTACGTAACAAAAACCTGTGGGATCCAACCACCATGCTACTGAAGAGACACTGTGCGTTTCCCCTCTAAAATGAAACTCTACTTCAGCGATCGAGGCATGCAATCCTTCTCCAGGGGCAGGGACAGTCTGATTACAGCAAAACTGTCACCCACAGTCACTGTAATTCAAATCCTCAAAATAAGTACATAAATTAAAATAAATTTATAAAGACAAAGTTTTTCTCAGAAAGCAAATAAATGACAAAACACTTTTCCAGTTAACCACTACATGGCAGCAGTGACCAGCTGTGAATTTGGTGGAAATTTTCCACTAATACTACCAGATTGACAGTTTAAAAAAAACAAAAAACTAAATTTTAATCTAAATTTTAACAAAACCAAACCAGTGTGACCTACAAGTTTTTGCACAAAGTGCACTTTATTCAGTCTCCAAAATCTGTCAATAAAACCTTTCACAGGTTCAAAAGGATTTTTTCTGCCATAGGCAAGAAGTCTATTCCTATAAATACACTGAGTTTAAATATGTGTTCACATACAAGTGCTGCTCTTCCTGCAGTGTTGGTAGATCAAACCTTTACATGATACATAAAAATCCACATGTTTTAACATTTAAGATTGCCAGACATTATGACACTGTGAGAGTGAGAAATACACAAACAATGTGATGGGAGAACAGCATGGACAATGTAACTCACTTCACCTCTAGATGGCACTCTTGCATGTACCTACAGTCCTCCTTGTAATTTATTGGAATGGATGAGAGGAACAGTGCAAAAGCATTAACAGGAACAAACCAAATACTCCATAATAGACATATTTCTGCCAAAGAATGCTAGTCTGATCTTGTGTTTCGATGTGGGAACAGGGAAACACATGTATATTGTGTTGTCTGGTTCACCTCTGCAGAGTTCTATGGCTTTGGCAAGAGGGTTGAGAGGAAGCACTGCCTGCATCTGACGTGTTTGTAATGAAGCAGCCGCCTCTCTATTTGTTGATCTTCCTCCCTGCACCTCTGTACCCGAGTGTGCAGAGAGCACCGACAGTCATGCACATACAGACATAGCGTACACCTTCAACAGACACTTGAGACACTTGAGACATGGTTTTACGGTATTTACAGAAGACACTGACTTGATCGCATGCACTTGATAATATGGGTGTTTCCGACCCCTGGCTGGGTTTACATGTTGAGATGAGATTCAGTGCAGGAGTTCAGAGCCTACCTCAGAGTGAAACAACATGTCAAGAGGCGTCTTTAAATGATTGAGTGCTGTGAGAAAGTTTACATATCTCCCAAGTTTTTACAGAATTTGTCGTGCTTCAAAAAGATTTAAAATTATTTTATTTCTATTTCTATTTGATTCTTCAATCACACAACTAGACATTACAAAAGAAGTTAAAATACACTTAACATGGTGAGTGCTAAAGAAAGTATGATTTTGTATGACTTAAATCATTAAAGAATGATCAAAATAGCTGATTGATCATCTGACCGTTTCAGCTATACAACCAACAAAAGCTGATAACAGATATTGGTGGAATTTAGGTAGCAGGAGGGATTCAAATTCAGATTCAAATGTGCTAAACTGTGAGAGTCAAGCATGGATGGATTAAGATTACATTTTACGATAAAAAATGGTGCCTTAGCTTTGCACACATTTTAAATTCACTCATACATGAACTAACTGGATGGAAAAGGAATCCAATCACAAACAAAAACTTTAAATTATTAGATTTTTTAAAAACTGTTTTTGAGCAGAGCTTGTGCAGGAAACTTAAGGGGATTCAACTTTTCACAGCATTGAGTTATAATTCATTAACCTGATTCATGGATATTTAAAAAGGCAAAAGAATCCACCTTAAAACACTTCAACACTGTTAAAAAATCCTCTGTTGGTGGTGATATACCTCAGTCAGTTTCTCTCATCTCAATCCAGATGATGTGGCATCACATACATACAGGGACGTGCACAGGGGGGTTGCTCTGGTTGCCCGGGCAACTGCCCGTTTGCCTTTCCTGACTCAAGTTGCCCTTCCGACTCGCCCTTCCGAGAAAAAAAAATAAAATAAAAAAATAATCGCGATCGCAAAGCCTCATTCACTTCCATTCGGGCACCGAAAGTGAAAGTCAGTAGGGGAAGGGCAAACTCTGTTTAAGTGGCTGCACTGCTGCAGCGCTGCCTGCACGTCAGTCGATTCTGTTCCCTACCGGAATTCCTGTTTCCTTCCTTTATGCAATCATACTACAACAAATCATGCGTAGTTTTGCCCAGTTACCATACGTGATACGTACCAACAGAAGTGAATACGAGCTAGAAGCGCAACTGAATGTACGGGAAGCCAAAAGGTTAAAAAAGGATTGTATTTTTTCCGAAATCTAAGCGTTTTTTTATTTAATATTTTATTAGAAGCGAGTTTTCCCCATCTGTCAATTCAATCTAGATTATTTATTTTCAAATAAAAAAAAAAAAGGAAAAAAAAAAATAATAATAATGATTAAAAAAAACAATAAACAATAATATAAGGAACTCTTTTTTCATGACTCGAGTCATGTTTTTCTGTTTTGTTATTAATAGTAGTTTAGGTTATTGAGTGCTGTATTTAAGTGTTTTTACTTTTTGTATATTTTTTAATAAAAAAATGTTTTTTTCTCAGTCCTTCATATAGCCCATGTTTTTTTGTTTGTTTGTTTTTTTTTGGGGGGGGGGGGGGTGCCTTTTTTCAGGTCAGAGCAACTGCCCTTCAAAATTCCTGTGCACGTCCCTGCATACATATGCAAATAACACTGAGTTTGAGAGCAGAAAAACGTATTGAAACATCAATGAAATGGTTTTGGTGTCCCTCAGGATTAAAGAGCAAAAACGTCATTTAGCAATGTCCCCAACAGACATGCACGTAGAAGTCAGTTCAGGTTATGTTGACTGGAAAACCTCTTGCTGTTTTGCTCTTACCCTTGTCCTCACTCTTTCCACTACACATTAAATTAAGCACAGCTGAATGAGATGGGTTCACAGCAGTTCTCTGGGTCCAAAATCATTCTGGGAAATGTCGGAAATCACCAAGTCAGGCAAAAGTAGAAGAGGCAGTCTTAGAGAAAGTGAAATTCAATCACTTGCACTAGACACCGCAAACAGATGATATAACAGTGGGACCAGCTGAAAGGGTGGATCCCCCCCCCCCCCTCTTTAATAGGACACAGAAACCTCTTCTTTGCACTCTGAACAGTATTCACCAAACACTGTCCAGGAGAACGAAAAGATCCAAAACAATACTTTCAGAGCTTCTGCGTTCATTCATCCATAACACAAACCTGGAATTATCATTGAACATTTTACTCGCTTGACTACTTGGTTTGTAGGGCTGATGAACTGATGCCAGCACCTCATACCAGCCCACAGATGCAGAAGTTGAAAATAGAAAGTTGGAGAGCTGAAGTATGGTAGCACCATGGGAGTTCCAGGAGCCGCCGCCTGACACGTACAGATCCTTCTGTTTGAGTGGCCGATCTCCATTCCAGGAACTATAATAAGAGGGTAATTGTTCCCTTCCTCTCATTTCCTCTTGGGGCCCAGACTGCAGCCCTGGAAGCTCATCAGACTCCTGGTAGGTGACAGATCTCCAGACACACGTGTCACATCTCGCCTACTGAAAAAAGGAGCAGCTCTGAACTCCTGCACTTAACGTTTATTTGGAGGGGATCTGTTTTGTTTTTTTTTTACATTTTTTATTGCATCAGGGAAACAGACACAACTGAGTATTATGTTTAATGTCAGCCCTTGAATGTCCCTGTCAGAGTAAAGGGGAGGAGTCTTGTATGACTCCTCATGCTGGCTTCACGGTTTCATTGGCGTCGAATGGAGAAGTGCCACTCGTTCGAAGAAAAAAAAAAAGAAAACTAAGAATAATTTCAAAAATGGATTTTGTCATGATTATTTTGAGTGTTATTCCTTGCAGTTATTTTCATACCAACAGGGATATGACCTCACCCACTGGCATGCACATGCAGGCTGGCTTGTTCCCTGCTCACAGTGGGCACAGCTACTCCATGCCGTTCCTCAGCATCTGATTGGCTGCGATGAGCATGACGCTGATGATGAACGCCATGGCAAAGGCGCAGATGAGGCTCTTCCTCACGCATGTCTGACGATTCTTCTTTGAGGGATGAACTGAAAGAGAAATGAGAAGGAGACAAACAGAAAGATGAAGATTATAAATAATAAAAAAGGGCCAGTAGAAAAAATCGTAACGCTTATTTTTCTGACATGTCTTGTAATTTATCATTCTGCACCCAGAAAAACTATATAATGAAGACAAATGGAGGGTGCATTGACACCAAGGAGTTGGTTATTCGTAACGTGTTTACTCCTTTAGTTCCTAAAAGTTAGTTTAGTGCCTAAAATTTACAGCCTGACTGATATGTTCCGGTATATTAGTCGATATTCCTTTCTTCCCCCCTTCTTTTCAGAAACTCATAACAGAGATTATCCCTAACGTTTGTGTTGTGTAGTTATGAGACCTCACCAAGATAACATCACATAATGCAGTTATAAATAGAACTTTTAACAAAAGTACAGCTGATTGCTGTGTTTTGTGTGCGTTGCCAATGGGAGCCAATGGGTGGCTCTCTGGTGGATAAATTATGCAACGACAACACTCATTACATGGATCCCTCTTCCGTCTCTCTATTTCTTTTTTAATTGTCATTTATTGGCTGTTATAAACACCAAAACCAATTTATCTGGAATAAGCTTATATCGGCCGATAATATTGGCACACCGATTTAATGTTCGGGCTATAAAAGAAATGCATGTCTTGCTCCTGTGTCAAGAGATCTACTTTGTAGTTTGTTTGGAGAAGTAGTTTAACTTAAACCAAGTTCAGAAAATGGGTTCTGGTTATTAGAAGATGGATGTTCGGATCTAATGCTTGGAAAGCTTAGCGTAACAAAATACACTGAGGACTCATCTACGGGAGACACGGACTGGAGCTAATTTTCATCTGTTCTTTCATTTATCCATGTGATGTATCAATGGCAGAGAAAGTACAATTCAGCAGTGAGTGAAGATACTGTACGCTCATCACAAATAGCTAAAGTTACAGGGCTGGAATAAGATATGATTCCACTCCATCGCTGCCCAAATCTTTAAACCTGACAAGACAACTGTCAAGACTTTGCACAGTAAACAAGTTATTTGTGCATTCAGGTTCACAAGCCCTCGTCCGCTTCTAATTGGGCCGTGTGCCACAAAAATATACTGTAAAGTGAAATGTTCCACTATGGTTGGGAGCAAAGGAAAAAAAAACTTGAGGCGTGATCTCACATTAGTGTTGCCAGGCAGAATTAACAGCTCTGCTCTGGATCCCAGCTGAATGAGCAGCGGGTAACTGTGAAGTGACCAGCAGGGGACACTGAGGTGAGCGTCACAATTCACAGATCCAGACTGATTTTACAGCAACAGACAAACATCAGAATAAGAAAGCCCAGCAACTCTGGCAGCTTTAAAGTATACAAGAATATAGGAATGTTTAAACTATGAAATAAATAACAAATTAGACTGGACAGTTTTATTGAGATACTGTACACATGTAATCATGAGCTTGTGACAACAGTATAATGTCCGCTATGTCTCTAGAGGGGTTTTCTATAGTCTGAAAAAACAACCCTGATAACGTAATTTGAATAATTAAAAAATGTGTTACTTTTGCTTAGACCTTGGACTCAAATTTTTAGGAAGCCTACGTTACAAATTGGAGGTGTGAGGTGTGAAAGAAACGGACCTTTAGGCTCTAATAATGAATGTTTGCAGCTTTACCCAGGGACTTAAAATGATGAAATTGCAGCCTTTGCTGCTACTTATGTATTAAAAAAGTGTCATTGTGTAAAAGATGTGGTGAAACAGTAAGAGGTAACAGTTTCATGATACAGTGTACAGCACGTAATTACCTGGCAGCAAAATTTTTATATAAATTATCTATAATACCCGCATTAAAGATGATATGGCATTGCAAGTAAATGACAGCTGACAAACACATTCACACATCAGCAGTCCTCTATGAGATCATTTTCTGGTTCAATCAACCTCCTGCACCAACCAGTAACTCAGCAGCTCTTCTTCCCTGCAGCACATCGGCAGACTGCGAGCAGCCGAGATGATTTTACCAGGCCGCGATAATTAAGGGAGCTGGGCCAATGACCCAGAGCCACATGGCTCACACTTTCACTTGCTCTATTTTTAACTCTCAATTCAAGAAGCACTGAAGTCATCAAAAAATGCTTCTTGACTGCTGTTCCAAACAAAATGCAATGTGGAAAGTGGCACAGAAATTGCTACATCTCTCTTAGCTTAGCCACAGAGGAGGTAGCTGGCAATCTCCAGTTGAAAAAAAATACTATTCCAGACTCTTGCACCATATAAAACTTGACCTGACGTGATCATTAGCCAAATGGATGACCTAAGAATGAGCTTTCAGCCATTTTCCAAGGTTATGTAACTCAACACTGGATAAATGTTGAGTAGACAATATGTTTACCAGGGTAGTTTCATCAGGAACACCATGCTCATGCTCAAGCTACTCACATTCACACCTTGAAGATACAGAGTACAACCACTCACCAGTTGGCCATTGGCATAGTGTTGGAAATGACAGAGCAGGTAGTTAGACTTTCTCCACTCAGTCTCAGTCTGCTGGTCTGGGAATCTCCCCGAATCTTACCCTACTGAGCCATTAACTCTGTTATTTCTTAACAAGCCAAATCATCTGGGTTGAGATTATTTTTTTAGTACAATTCTAACAAATTCAATAATTTACTGTAACTTAGTGTAATTTGCTTGATAATAGTACATCAAGGTGTCTTATTCTGTTTAAAGACATTGACAATCATCTCTAGAAATAGATCTGAGACAAAGGAAATGGCACTGTGAAATTAACTTTTTTTTTTTTCTTGTATGAACATGAACATGTCCTGAAGGATTTTTTTATTTTAAAGTATCTATAGTTTTAGAAGTCAGGGTGAGTTGAAGAGCATATCAATGGAAAGACCATGTGTTCAGCTTCTGGCTGGACTGTGAAGATGGGAGGAGAGTTGTGGTCATGACATTAGTTCTCAGTCCAGTCACCTGAACCTGCTGCCAGCCTTATAAAACACCTCCTCAGCTGCCCAAAGTCACTACACCGTCACTACACCGTCACACCACCCACAAAGGATTTTCTTTAGTGAACCACTGTGGTCATGAAGGTAATAAAGTGTACACTGGTTTCTAGGCTGTTGACTTACGGCTGAATAAAAATAGCTGACCTGTAGGTATATATATGGGTATGCTGATTGATTCAAAATACACAACCCTGCAAGAAAACAGCGTTGTAAAAGTAATGTGTATTCTGTGGACCATCAGATGAGTAGCTGTTGAGATGGGCAACCATTGACGTCAGGGTTGGGAGCAGAGGTTTGGGAACTGGGGTTATAGAAAGACTACCAAAATCCTGAGTAGGATTCTCTGGTGTAAAAGGACATGAGTTTATTTTTCCCTAGTGAAAAACAGGGAATCTTGAATTTCAAATGATCCAGTTTAGATTAAATTAGTTCTTCTTCAGTTGAAACTGGAAATGTTAAATACATCACCTCTTGTGCTCCAGAAGATTTAGCTGTTACATATATTTATTATATAATTGCTATTGCTGAAAACAGCAACAGCAAATATATGAAAAAGTCAACAATTTGAATTTGAATAATTTGAAAAGATGCATGTGCACATCACAAACATACATAATATGACCATATTGCTAAGATGGGGTCCCTTACATCTGTACACCTGTATGGCAGCTGTGACATTCATGCATCAAAATTGATTGCCACGCTTGCTTCTGGCTGCCAGGCACTCCCTGGACAGCTGCTTCTCTACGCTTTACGCTATTGGCGCAATTTGTTCAGCAATGAATCAGTGCCTGGAGAACTTCTATGTATCAGTGGTTACAATCTTTATTCTGTTGTTTTTCAGGTCCACACCATATCGATTCAACAGTGAGATGAAGCCAGAGGGAAATCAAGTGCCTCATATGCTACCTCATATATCAGTAAGTTGAAGCAATAACTACCAGAGTAGCATGATGAATTTTACTCAGTATGAATCTCACTGTGACACAATGTATTGATTTATCCATGACTGAGCACATTTTGGTCACCCTGTGTGGCAGGTGGTACTCATAGACCTTGGGGCCAACAGATGTGATTGCTCTTTATGAACCAGCGATGGTTAGTCTTCATCATAAACCCAGCAGGAACATAATGTTGTCATCACTCCATACCAGTTTTAAGACCCTGATGAAGTGCTGTTGTCTGCCAAGTAAATTCCTTCTAGGACAGGCCAGAATCACATGCAGGTAGTGTTTGGTCAAGAGGAAAATAAAGGGCTGTTTGGTCTTTGAACATCATTTTAGCCTACGGAGGAAATATATACAACCTTGAGTAGAAAGAAGAGTTCAAGTGCAATGGAAGTTCACACATACAGAATTATTAATGTTGATTTATCCATTAATATTAGTGTTAATGCTGCAAACACTTCTGATGAGGACAGCCTCGCTGCATAACAAAGTAGGATTGGCCCCCATCTCTACCATGCTGCCTTCAGGATAAGAACTGAGACCATTATGACTCAGCCTTTCCTACACCCCAAATTCATGTGATTGGTGTTGGGACAAAATGGACGTCAGTGTATTTTTTAGGCTGCTTTTAAATGTCATCAGACAAGGTACAAACGCAATCACTAATTTCAGGCATTTACATTTGTCAAGTATGACATTTCTGCTTACACATTTATCCAAATACAGCATTAGTCATCTCAAATTAAGCAGGCAAAAGGGGAAAGAATAATTCTTCAAATTTTAAGTTTCAAATGTAAACATTTTCATTTACAATTTTGTTTTTTCACATATTCCTACCATTAATCTCCATTAAGCAACAGTGCTTATGTGTTCAGTTTCAGCCAAACACGTCAAATAGTGTCCTGTGATACTACGCTGTCTATACGTCATTTTTGAATTTGAATAAGAAATTGAATAAGTCCTGGAATACCCTCTACTGCTCTGATCCATAAATCTTGGATGGCAAAGCGAGGTCATGCATATTTCATCCGTGCCACTTCTGAACTGGTGACCAGCTGACACTGGTCCCCATGAACACCCCAAATCAATAAATCAGCAGGTGTGCTGTGACTCTGTAGGCTGTACATCTTGATGAGATAGCTCAAATTCTTCCTGACATCATGGATTACTTTCTCTCTCACTACACATACGCCAAAGACTGTATTTCCGTCACACACACACACACACACACACACACACACACACAAACTTGCCTATATGTCCGTGTGTGAAGTTAGCTCAGGGACTTTCGCTCACCTCCCTCAAACTCTGTCTGACAGTTCCCAGAGTTTTCCTTCAGGCTCTCTTCCTCGTTGATGATGATGTTCTCAATGTCCTTCATGGTCAAGTGGTCGCGGAAGGCATAGAACAAGATGTGTTTCAGCTCCTCCAGGGTGATCCTCTGCATGTCAAACTGCAGGAGAAGAGAGATGAGAGATTTTAAAAAAAGAGAGACCATTTCCTTTCACATAAATAAATTGTGTGTACTTCTGCAGTATGCCTGGCAGGATAGCGTTTGAACTGAACAAGTACTAACTCATGTGTGCTAATGTGACACAACTCTTCTACAGTTTTATGACAAGTGTGCAAGCTTCAATAAAACAACACAAATAAAAACTCCACCACACTGCCACCCTAAACTGTGCAGCACAAAAATCTCTCCTTGAGTTTTTGCTGCCAAGAAACTACAATAAATAATGTGTATTGTAAGTACAGAAAAAAGCTCAAATGCATAAATCCTCATGCATGTTCTTGTAATTCTTTACCATACAGATGCAATGCATTCACTTTAATCAGAATGTTGCACAAAGTTGATGCGTTGATTAAATTGAATGTGCTGGATTACAGCCTGAAAGTGATTGATTTATTGTTCAGTTTGAACCTTTACACAATTCAATCCAAAAGAAGGTACACACACACACACACACACACACACACACAAAGAAATACACATCACAACTTGCAAGCTGATGTTTGAAGGTCTCACATAGAGCAAAGACCAACTACAAAGTTTTGCTTCAGAAGTTGAGAATATTATGGCCTCCAGCCTGCTTGAAAACAGCACTTCATCTAATGCTAGAGAGCAGTAATAAAAAGTGTTTTTCTCTGTATCCAGGCTGCTTAAAAACAGAAGTAAAAGGCTTCACTGGCAGGAAATGTGTGAATGTGATATAAACCTGACTGAGAATGAATTAAATATCACAAAGCCCAGAAGCAGTTGAAAGGACTTAATTTCTCTGAATCACTCTGAATCTTACATACTGACTCAATAAACACAACTCATTGTATCAGGATAAAATGCTCTTTTCTGTACACACCTGGTGACTAGCTCATCACAAATACTTGTTACTTCGCAATGACACAAGGGAATTAGTATAAGGGAAATACACGACAAGGACCTGTTGTTAAAGCTGACTTCTCACAGTGGGGGAATTGCAGGTCTCTGAATGGCCAGGTAGGCTTTGGAGACACATGGACTGCTAATTTGGGAAGTCTAAATTTATTCATTAACTACACTCAACAAAGCAACAGAGTGGCTGCGAGGGTAAAACACTCTCTCTGTGCTGTGCTCCCACAGTCTTAAATACTTGTTGCAGTTTATGCCTGTTCATGCTGGGATGGGCACTACACCACTGGCTAACAGTTTCAGTAGAAGTTAGTGAGGAATTCTGGACACTTTAGTGAGTGCAAACGCACTTTGTTGAAAATGTGCTTCACAGACATACAGGAATCACATTATTGTCATAAAAATAGGAATATAATTATTTTAATACATAGTTACAGACAAATATGACTTGCAGCGAAATGCCCACATCACTGGACAGACTCAGAGGGCTTGCAAAAATACATCTACTGGAATATGGGAACATGCTGACCCTAAAACTCAAATTTCAATCACTCTTATGGCTTGATCCCAGTTTTAAGGACATTCTGGGACATGATGTCATAGCAGAGCAATCCTGTTACAAATGAAATGTATGTTTATTTTCCTGTGACCTTGTATTTTTCAGCCTGGACATCCGGATAAAGTATCTTCCAAATCTGTGACAAGAAGTCAAATCTTTCAACGCTGCTTAAAAAAAAAAGATGAAAAATGACAGGCCAAGCTGAATGAATTTGCAGAGGACAAATGTAAAGCACCTCAATGCTGTCAATTCCTCACGGTAAAAATCCCCTTTGCAACACATTTTGATCTCGATTACAAAATCCCACATTGTGTTTAAAGCATTCAGCAATATTGTGATGAATGATGCACATCACACAGAGAGAAGGATAACATTCACTGGACTTCCTGGAAAGCCCACTGGGTAGAAAATTACATTAATCACTGCATAAATCACACTTGGCATGAATCACACTTACCATCAATACCATCTATTATCTCTTCACCTCAGAGCGAGCTAATGAACACTCAAACCAATCACACTTCAAATGTTAATCAGCCTCAATCAAGATTAATTATCAAAGTTAATTAATAGTTGGGGGTAAACTTTTCATCTTTTGTTTGCCAGGTCATTAATCACAAAAGAAAGTAAATGTGAATGTTGGCAAGCCAAAGGTAATACATAATAAAAGGTACAAAATAATATAGTAATACATCACATATGCTTTAGTGAAATGTAAGTGAAGAGCAGAAGACATTAGTCCATATGTTAGTTGTATAAATGTGCATATGGCTGGGAGAATACCACTACTGTAGGTTGTTGCAGAAAAAAAAGTTAGGAGCATTCACACAACATATGTATAATCAAACTCGATTCACAAACAATATCACTGCAACAAATGTTACTACTAAAGGCAATATTGCAACAACTACTGCTGCTACTACACTTTACGCTACTGATTCTGCCACTGTTACTACATGTATTATATGCATTCTATTGGCTTTTTATCTATTTACAGTGAATGAGATTCAATTCAATTGCAGCAGTCAAGAAAAAAAAAAGCTGTACTGCTGAATCAAGGTCGAGGTTATCAACGGCTGTACTATAAATTAATGTAATTATTATTAGTATTGAGAAGGAGCATGACTGACTCCTTGTTTTTCATTTCAGAAACGGATGAGATGTCCCACGGACTAAAGAGCTCTATTTTTTTCTTGTCTCATCTCCCTCTGGGGAACAGGGAAAGAATGAAATGCATCCTAAACAGACAGATCCACCTGGAGCGGTCCTCCAGCATCTGCCACGTAAAGTTACAGCCAACTCCTGTTTCACTTGTTCCCAAGGGAGACAGGTCAGCGGCCTAATTGTGTTGACTCGACCTTCGTGAGACCTTGCTGCTCCTAATGACTCCATCGCTGGCGGACATCAAAAGACTGCTGGCTTCATTTACTTGGGAAAAGAAGGATGAGCTGGAGGATACATTGATTCAATGAGCAGCACTCCAGTGGCAGATAAGAAAAAGCCACGTTATTTCTATTTCCACACCCCAGCGAGTTGCTCAGACTACATTCACATTCAAGCATGGAGCGACCTTTATGGGAGAATGTGCTGAAAAAACAGGGAGTAGAAAAGAATGACACCTGTGGACCTTAAGTGACTTTTAGAAAAAAGATCTTTAGTAGGACACCTAGTGCTGTGTGGCCTGTTTTTTTATACTGAACCCCAGGTACTGAGAGGAAAACTTCAGTAGTCTTCTTTGTCACACAATCTTCACAGAAGTTCAGTCTAAAGTGTAATCACATGCCTCAGGCACAGGGGCATTTCGTAGAGACTGTGGAAAAGTTGGAAATGTCACGTACCGTTAAGACCTGCTGTGGTTAAAGCTCACAGGGAGCCTTGTAATGTAATGGCACAGAATCCCAGACAGAGTGATGTAAGTGATGACAGAGATTTGCATGGTTACTAAACTCTATCTCTCTCTGAACTGATTTACTCGTTAACAAGTATTAAAAAGATTTGCCACAACATCAACAAGATGCAGAAGACTCTATGATATCAGAGATGCCGGTGGTTTGATTTACCGTTTTTGATGAAACTGTTTAATGTTTACTGGGACTGAATTCTAAAGAACTGCAATGGGTTTGGGTTCCCACAGCCTTAACAAACTTTATGGGCTAGGAATATATTTAGCTGAATATGAGCAGTCAGCATCATCAACATGGGACTAGCACAGGACTTCTCATGTACAGTGCTAAAATATACGACTATGTTCCCAACTTTTCTCTTTTCCCCAACACAGAATCATAGTGAATATAATGAAATAAGTCACATACAGTTTTTAGATTATTAAATACTTCTGATAAACAGGAAAAATACTTCGTCAAAGTGAAAACAAATCTCAACAAATGGGTCTTGGTGGCAACAGAGATTCAGCTGGTAACAGTTGGCAGAAATGATGAGTGGCCCACTTCATGGAATGATAAAGTGATTGTAACGGCTTTTTTCACTTGACAAAGCTGACAAATTAAAAATCAAATTCGATTGCAATATGACTTAAAACCTTTGTTTAAAAAAAAAACAGTTCTTCACACTGTATTAGCGGAATTCACCACGATTGACACCATGTCACTAAGAACACAAATGCTCAATGACAGATGGACTGGTTTCATTTTACCATCTGTGCTTCATACTGTGTTGCTATACTGTACTATCTTACTGTATTATGTACTTTGTAAGGCTCTTTATCAGGAGAGTGTGGGGGACTGTGATATCAGACAAATTTCCTTAAGAACTTATTGCAAACACATTAACAACTAAAAAAATCTCTTCACCTAGGTATCAGCAAAATTCAATAAAAATATAATTGCCATAAGTATAATTAAGCTCAATCTAAGGTGATACATCGAGAATTACTTTCTCACTCTGGGAGGAATACAATTCTTGGATTAAATCCTGACCTTTTTTGATTTTGCTCAATCGATTGCGTGCCTGTTGTTCACACTGTATAGTGGATAAGATGTTGAAGATGAGGAAGGGGAGTCACCCGGAAAAGAAAGCTTTGTTCTTCTCTACAGTCGTAACTGAGGCGCGTTCAGCTGCTCACACACACAGGCGGTGAGAAGGTGCCAAGAGCCAGCATCCATCCATCTGCTGTGTTCAGCCCTTTGCACTGCAGCCAAATTATACAGCTACGGATAATGTTCTGCACACACTGTAGAATCCAATTATATGAATTTGCTAATCTAAATTTCAACGCGATGGGCTGGCAAGTATTTTGTTTTTAAACGGCAGAAATATTAATGCATTTGAAACATGCTGCAGCTGGGGACAAGCTCGTCCTCGAAGGTCAGTGGATTTGAATGATGAACAATGTACTGTAGCCACAGACACACAGCTACAGACTTCCATGACCTCTGCTCTTTTCAACAAGTCCCTAATAAGCTCTTTGTTAAATATCAGCCACTTCTTCCATTGTCAATGTGAGTTGATTTTGCAAAAGTGTGAAGTGGTGTTTGGCAGGGATTGGTTG